ATATTCGGATAATTAAAATCGCCTAATAAAAATATCGGAGAATCTGGGAATCTTGCAGTAACCATATTTAGCGCATCATGTAAGTCATTGACAAAGCCAGTGGAACAGTTAGGTGGTCTATAACAAGCACAAAGTACAATTCGCCTATTTCCCGCGTGGAAGCAAACACAGATAAACTCAAGCTCAGTTACAATATTTACATAAAATGATTCAATTGTCTCGTTAATTCCAATCAATACTCCTCCCCCTGATCTATACTCCCTGTCGTATCGATAGATATTAAACTTTTTTTCGCAGGCAAATATTTCACTGTCACGGATTCGAGACGAAAGCCAAGTTTCTGTTAGTACTACGATATCAGATGATGAAGAGTCAATAATCGCACACAATTCATCACGCTTGTTCATGACACTTCTTACATTGGCGAAAAACATTGAAAGATTAGCATATGATTGACAAGGCCTTTGCCGACTTTGCTTATTTATGGGTTGCTACGAGGAGCTAGCAGAAGGCACTGACTCAGCAGCCGCGCTATTATCAGGATTTGCGCGGCGTGGTACAAAACGATCACCAACTTCAATCACATTGTCACTGTCTGAGCAGTACATAAAAATCTTTTTATCAAGGTGAAGTTTATTGTACCGTAAGCTAAAGTACTTGTCCGGGCTTCTCGCCTTCGCAAATTCAATCAAAACCTTTCGCGCGTGACGCGTAGCTGGCGAAAAGTCCTCGCTGACAGACACACTGCTGCCCTTTAATTTTGATCTACCCACCAGCACGTTTTCTCGAAGCTTGTAAGACGCAAACTTAACGACTATTGGGCGACATTTTCCCGCGACAAAGGCGCCGAGTCTATGAGCCCGAGCTATGCCGTCTTCAGCAATCTGCATGTTAGCTTCCCGATGGAGCACCTCCCGTACTTTCTCTTGGGAGAGGGCCCATGTCTCAGATGGAGTGTCAACGATTCCATGGAAAATTAAGTTGTCCCGTCTCGACCTGTCCTCCATTTCATCCACTCGGGCGCGTAGGAGCGTATTTTCTTTCTTTGTGTCATTGGCGATCAGCTGTGCTACCCGCAGTTCATTCTGCCACTCGTCGGACATTAAGGCCTTGTTTTCAACCACAGTTAGTCTATTGTTTACTTCAACGAGTTGTTTTTCAATCGATTGTTGGTTGCTTTTTATCTCGTTAACGGATGCCATAAGACCATTCCGGCCCTCCTCAAACTTAAGGGTACGAGCATTCACTTCATGAAGAAGCTTCAGCATTTCGTCAAGCTGCTTGCCTTGGCTCTCAGTCCTAGGTCCCGGGTTGGACTCAATATCCCCGCTCAAAAGAAGAATCAAAGAACACAATGCATCAACACAGTCGGAAACACAAAGACACAATGCTTCCGGGCGAGGCAGCACTACGAGACACAAATAGTCGCTTTTCACTTTCGAATAGTAATTACGACTACCCACCTGCAGTATGAAAACGACAGGATTAGACGACGTCCGCATGGTTGAAAAGCTGCCTCGCCCACTGACGAATTCCGCGCCAAGCAGGGGGGCGGTTTGTGAAGATTCCGATGATGACGATGTCGATCCGGTGGCACGATGAAACGTAGGCGAAACCAGAAGAAATTCTTGGTGAGGCACGGAATGTCCACCGACTTCACTGGGGGCGGACACAATCTGCGTTTGCTGGTGTTGCTTGTATCCCTGTAATCCAGGCGGGCCGGTATAGTTCACTGACAGCGTGAACAAGGCGAAGATCTGCAGTATGAAAACGACAGGATTAGACGACGTCCGCATGGTTGAAAAGCTGCCTCGCCCACTGACGAATTCCGCGCCAAGCAGGGGGGCGGTTTGTGAAGATTCCGATGATGACGATGTCGATCCGGTGGCACGATGAAACGTAGGCGAAACCAGAAGAAATTCTTGGTGAGGCACGGAATGTCCACCGACTTCACTGGGGGCGGACACAATCTGCGTTTGCTGGTGTTGCTTGTATCCCTGTAATCCAGGCGGGCCGGTATAGTTCACTGACAGCGTGAACAAGGCGAAGATCTGCAGTATGAAAACGACAGGATTAGACGACGTCCGCATGGTTGAAAAGCTGCCTCGCCCACTGACGAATTCCGCGCCAAGCAGGGGGGCGGTTTGTGAAGATTCCGATGATGACGATGTCGATCCGGTGGCACGATGAAACGTAGGCGAAACCAGAAGAAATTCTTGGTGAGGCACGGAATGTCCACCGACTTCACTGGGGGCGGACACAATCTGCGTTTGCTGGTGTTGCTTGTATCCCTGTAATCCAGGCGGGCCGGTATAGTTCACTGACAGCGTGAACAAGGCGAAGATCTGCAGTATGAAAACGACAGGATTAGACGACGTCCGCATGGTTGAAAAGCTGCCTCGCCCACTCGGTGAGGCACGGAATGTCCACCGACTTAGATCTACCTAGCCACAATGCAGATTCCTATGACCAGTGCCTTTGTAATAACTCTTGGCTATCACACCTGCTGTAAAACGGATCCCTATTTTGAATAAAGTTTAAGCTTAGTTTAGTTGTTGAAACGGAACTTACATTTTAGGTGTCTATATTTGTTTATTTTTATCTATTTTTTTTTATTAAAGCGAACATTGAAGTATTTTGTTAAATCCTTTCAATATTAAAGCATTCATACATTTTTAAAAAGGCATCTGCATAATATTGGAATAATTTTGCTAAAATGTTGCCTAATAAAACTGATTCACCTATATCTGCTCAGGGGAGCAGATATTGATGTTTTTAACCCAAATTTAGTAGCTTTTAAGACTTTCGTAACTAACCTGTGAACATTTTGTTGTGTATCATTACTAAGGTGTCAAGCTGTTCATGAGCACAAAAAATAAACAAATAAATGAATGAATGAATGAATGAATGAATGAATGAATGAATGAATGAATGAACGTAGAGGCACAAACGCGATGTAGTAGCATAGCTGTTTTGTTTTTTATTTGTGCTAAACTTTTGTGCTTTTTTCCCGACCACTCTAAGAACCTCTTTTTTTTCAAACGCCCGTTCGCGGTTTAGTGGTTACCGCAGACACTGAAAAAGCAGGTAAAAAGACGTGTATTAAAACTTCAGCTAAAATTACTATCCATCAATTCATCTTCGAAAAAAAAAAATACACTAGTATATTTACTTGTGGCTTTCTGTTCTGTTTGAACACGCTATTTTAAAAGTTACTTTCGATTTCCACCTATATTTTGCTCGGAAAAAAAGCCCTTCAAATGTTTCGTACTAATCAAGTGATTCGATTTGGGGCAGACGCAATCAGGTAAAAAATGGCAGAATATGCTCCTGATGTGACTTATATTCCCTTCAGTAGCGGCATTTAAATTTCCCAAATATGAACTATCTTAGTACGTTTCTTTTTTATGGTATATAATAGTAAAAGAAAGCTATAAACATGCCTAGTGTCCGAATGGTTTTTGAGAGGTCTAGCAAAAAATCATAGAGGAGTGTACATAAGAGTTGTGTAGCTACGTTCCACCATGAGTGCTCAAACAATTGAAGGGTGATACAAAAGTGTCACGTAAGCTTCACATATTCAGTAACTGTAAACCTATCTGCTAAATTTTAAATCTTTAGTAAATTCCCGTCAATAGCCAAGTAACAAATATCAAATGACTTGCTCAACTAGCCTGAAATTTAACTTTCCTATCTGCAGTGAAATTTCGATTACTTTTGTACAGTATAACCCAACAACTGCAAGGAATATATTTTCGTAATTAGCAATTATTTAAAAGCAACGAATACAGTCGCAAGTGATATGACAATGCCCTAAAGAGGACGTAGTTCTGAGGTCACGTGCTCTTTGGGAAGGTGGCTCTATAACGTTATAAATTCCCGTGTTTTCTAGACATAGTGCGAAAACAGGATATTTTAGCTTGTTTTCGAGTTTTTTTTTTTAACAACTGTTAGTTCCTTTTTATTATCTTCTCAGCAGTAAGTTAGAGCATTCACGTCAATCGTGCAAACAACTTATCTTGCCATACCGTATTTATTCTTGTTATTCCTAAAACAATGCACTACAACCACGCACGCCTTTTTGTAGAAGAACTTTTGGAAACTAAAGACTGATTTCGGTGCAGCTTTTCCTGTGGAATGCTTTCAGAACTCGGGGGTAAAACCGGTGGTGGAGGCATGTCGTAGATGATGTGTTTGCCATGGAGCTAAAGATATGGTGTATGAATGTTTGTTATTTTTATACGCTTAATGTACAAGGTGTCCTGCCAAAAACGCTTAGAAGGTTTTTTTCACCTCGAAAATAAACTACGCATTGTCGAACCCTCGTTCTCTACCAAAGTGTAGTGCAAGAGGTCCGAACCAGATGCCAGTTTTAGCACTAACAGTTATCTTATTCAAAAGCTATGTGATTTTCTGACACTTGTTCACTGGAAAAATGGGGCACATTTCCGCCCGTGTTCCGTAACTGGCGCCATGGAGATCCATGTATTCGAGAACGAGGTCGGCCGCCATCTTCCCACTGAAAATTTCAGAACCTCCATTATAAGCCTCAAGAAGGCAACGTTTCGTGCTGAAACGTTGGCATCTGGTTCGGATATCCTGCGCTACATTTTGGTGGACAATTAGCGTTCGACAATGCATAGGGCATTTTTCGGATGAAAAACACCTCGTAATTTGTTTGGCGAGACAACTTGTATATACAAAATTATGACGCTGGACAATGTGATAAAATGCATTTGATTGTATTTAAACAAGAATGAAATATATTCCATCTACAGCCACTTCGTGAAAGAGAGTGAACTAAGAAAACATGCAAATTGTACAACGGCGAAACAAAATATTGTTTTCATAGCTTAAAAAAAGTTGGTTGACATTGATGGTGTTCTGGTTTGTTATTGTGTTAAGCTGGGTTTTGATAGTGAAATCTCTTTGGGCTTCTAGAGAAGCCAAACTTCCATTCAGTTCTGCTTGCCTGACCGCGTGACCCCTTTCTCATCCAGTGCTCGACGCAACGGGCAAGTACCCCACGGGGCTGTTCCAAGGCACGCTGTCAGACATCGGGGCCTTTGATCAGTGCATCGAGACGGTGATACACGACGACTATGGCAACGAGAAGGTCAGGGCACACTACTGCAATCTGTACATGAAGTTCGGCAAAGATCTCTCCTTCTTCGAACATGTGGACGACATGCTTCGCTTGTCGCACAGAAGGGTAAGTTCACGTTCGGTTGTTTCGCAGGAAACTCAGCCAGGTAAAATTCTTCAAATCTATCAGCATTTTGGGTATGACGTTGGGCGGAGTGTTGGAACTTCCTTTTTTTATTTTGTTAATTACCCTAAAATATGGTGTGTAGAATAAACAAACATACTAACTGTTACGTTTTTAATGTTGTTCACCCATTACTTGGCTCACTTTTTTCTAACGCTAAATTTATTAGATTAATTGTATACAAAATGATTAACAACATCACTTCATTTGTATCTCTATCGCAAGTGTCTTCCACATTACACACTTACTGAATACAAGACCACATAATTTAAAAATGAATCTAAACAGTGTTCATATTAACAAACCCATTTTTGCAAAACCGAGCGCACAACGAATCTTCCAAGACGAGAATAACATGCCTGAACCCAGGAGCTTGGCCCGGGGCAAATGGTTCTCAAGGTTTGCTTATACCTATGGTCATTTCAGGCCTCGTGCTGAATTTCTTGCATTAGGACGTCCATTTACTCCTTCACATTAATTCACGACATTACTGCATAACATGGTCCTCATTGTATCTATTCTTTTCCGTAAAAATGTTGAAATAATTTCGTCTGAGCACTCTTAAATATCATGGCACGAGCTAGATGTTCCAGAATAAATGTATGCAATACGTCTTGTACGAGCGTGGTGCTCTCATTCTTCTTGGGTAAAGCGTCCTTGGCTGCAATACTAAGCGTGCAAATTGCATCAAAGCATGTTCGATATTTTTTTGTTTTTCTTATTGGGATTACGATAAAACATTTCCCTATCCTATCATCAAGAAAATATGTCTCGAGATACATAAAAAAAGAAAATAATATGACGGCTTTTTTGCCGAGATCTGTTATCGCCAATTTAGTCTCCATGCAGGCAGCCTTGATCCGTTGCGTACTAACGATCCCTGCTCTAAATCTGACATGCAGAATGCGGGTCGCCACTGTCGGGCGTCGGAAATTTCTTGTCGACCAGACTGGATATTAGTATTTAGGTGATCAATTAACTCATCTATATTACATATTCGGCCCGAGGTTAGTTGAAGTTTGTTCCGAGATGTGGTGTTATATAGTCTGTCTTTCTAAACTAAGAATGCTTAAATGTATTTTTAATGTTAAAAAGGCAAAAGTATAAAAATTAATAGTGTCACTTTTAGGCTATCTCTAAACAAATATGTAGTATAAAGCATATGTGGGATATTAAAATCACACCTCAATTAAAAAATAAAGAGGCACGCTACAACTTATTATTGAGCATAAACGCCAGGAGCGCGCTAAGAATATTCACATAGAATGGGGTGGCATTATCCTTAGATTGACAACTGCAAAGGTCCATGAGTCGCAGCAGATCCTTACACTGCAATCATTATGAATTATATTTCACTGTTCCATCCGAACTATTCACTGTTAAGACAAAGTTAATAAGCATGTTTATAACATATTCGCAAACAGATGCAATGTATACTGTCAGCAGAAGTAAAGGAATGCATATCCTCAGCTCAGTTCAACATACTTAGACCTTTTATGTAAAATAAAATTCACCCTAAGCAATAATATTGCGTCAAATTTTGCGCAAACCACCCTGAGAGCCATTCTCTGCTATCTATGACATAAATGAGTGAATGATTTGGCCAAAACTGTATCTAGAAATAAAAACGAATTCTGGCGTGTCTTAGCCTGCCTAACGTTACCATGTCATGCGTGATGTTGGGTGCCGCATTACAGATGTCTTATCAAGGCCGAATGCAAACAAGCGGCGTCATCATGAGGTTTAATAATGAAAAAAATACTCGGCATGTCATAGGTTTTTCTAGCAGACAAGGCTACTTATGACTGGACACTTTATGATTTTAACTACTATTCGTACACAACTTGTATAAACATATTTTATACTGCATCATTCGCCGAGCTTCAATAGAACCCAGTTATTTCGTCTCCACGTACTTTGAAAACAAGAAAAAAGTATCACAGGAACTTCGTAGTTATGGATGAGTAATTACAATCACTATTCCTAAATCAAGACAGATGCGTTTAAAGCTAGGACTGCCGCGTCATAGACAACTTCCCACAGCCCACTTCGAGGAACTAGACCCAATACACTCGGCACCACACATCTAACAAAAGCGAAATAACCGCCCAACTGGATTACTAGAAAAACGACCTTCGTAGAATGAGCACAACATCACGTGGTCCACGTAAGCCGCGATGGCCTTCAACTTTCTTCGCTCATTCATTTTTTGTATATTTTGTTTATACATGTTATAACCTTTTTGGCTTCGGCGCAGATTGGGACCTATATTGCCCCCAAGCGTTTTTTTTTTCTCTCTTGAAAGTCGTAGTTTGAATTTGGGCAGCCTGCCACGTCACACGCAAAAAATGAACAAAAAACCTCGTTATATATCGCGCAAGAGATAAAGCTATAGAATAGACGATGTTAACAGGAGTGACGTCAATTCATTTATGTAGATATGTGCATTTGATAAAAATCGGTAGATTTTGTTGTAGAGCTGTATAGGATAATGCTTCCGCTCAATCACTCTTACCGGAAAAATAACCGGCTTGCTCTGATGTAATCCTTTAGGTTTCATAGGGGTTCGAACGGACTTCCTGTGAAAGCTAGAAATGACGCAAGCTATTCGATTTGAAACACTATTCGCAAACATCTAAAAGTTTATTTACCGAAAAATGTTTTGCGGTCCTACCATGAAGGCCTGCGATCTGAAACGGCGCATGGCGTGTGCGTCCTAAACATGAGGCTCGGTCGCGTTCTTTATACTTCGGTGAAAGCTTTTACCAGCCTTTTTCTAGCCTAGCTCCCTCCATATTTCACACCGATATGATTTTTTGGAGTTATTAGTATAAAATCTAGCGCACGGACGTTTTTGGGGTGGATGTCCTCGAAACTATTACAACTAAAGACAGCATCTCAGCGTGGTTAGATGACATTCTTTTGTTTTCCGGGTGACGGTTTATTTGACACACTCTTCGAACCAGGACGCATGGGTTGTATTACGCTCCTACTTTTTTCGGCATACCACAAAAATAGATCTAAAAACTAATTACGAAATACATACGATATAAAAGACATTGCACTGCGGTAGACGATACGCATCTCTTGAATTTCTTAATGTATCGTGTAATTTTAGCATAATGCCTGCGTCAAGCGTGCGTGAAGTTTCAACAGAAACTTCATATTCGGAATGTGAAATAAAATATGAAAATTAGCGGTACATAAAATGATTGAATATTTAAGTCCTAACCTCAAAATTTCACTAAAAAAAAAAACATAAAAAAAACGAAAAAACTTACCCTCACACGAGACTCACCGCGTCGATTTCAAGCTGTACAAATGTTGACATTTTAGATGCACAAATTAACCGTAAGCATAATGTTTGGTTGTGTCTAGTTAATTCTAGTGATGCGCTTTTTTCGTTCCCAGCTTTCTCACCAGCTCTAGCTTAAACGTATATTATTTTCCGACAATAGCGTTACTTTTGACCGATTCGAGGAGGAAAGAAGGGAGAGAAAGATAGCGACTGAGTCACCTTGTCTGTTGCGAGTAACGACGACCTTGCGCCAACTGGAACCCTTGTTTGTTGCTCGTAGGGGGAGGTTTTTCCAGTTGCGAGCTCTTTCAAAGCAGGATAGGTGGTTCAAAACGAACCGTCAAATAAAAATATGTTCGCGGCGCAACTCAGTTGAGACGTGTGCTCCTACCGCCGCACTTAGAAGCGTTTCTGCAAAGATTTTCAATATTTGCATGATAATATATTGCCCCTCAATAATACTTTAGATAAAGTTTAGTACAAGAAGTTTATTTTTTGATTATCCTTACTTTGACGCAAAAGGTGGGTTTGGTTCTTGATGTGAGCTAAAGCCGATGAGGAAAAAAAATACAAGATGTCAGAGACTACACTGTATTTTTGCAAAGTTTATTTTTGCTTAACGGGTACTTTTCGTGAGTGTTATATTGCGCTTAGCATGAAATTAATACATAATGAAAAATTTATTTTTTTGTAAAAGAAGGAGCAGAAGTACAAAACTTTTAACTTCTGCGAACATCATTCTAGAGGGGTTCTAAGCTGCTAAAGAAATGAACACAACGCGTTTCGTCACTTTAGGTAGAATTGGTTCAATCAAGATGATTGAACCAATCAGACACCTTCAAAAGCGCACCATCATGCTGTCTTTCATGTTTCTGTGCGTGTTCGATCATCGCTGAACCAATCATAAACAAAAAAGGCTTAGTGGCTTACACTTTTACGATGCTTGATTAGGCTATTGCATGGTAACGTCGGCCGCGTCTGTAATATAGCTGAAACTACCGTATTTACTCGCGTATAGGTCGACCTGTTTTTCAAAAATCGCCTCATCAAAACTGGGGGGTCGACCAATACGCGAATCAAGGTATTATATTTTTCAACTTTTTTTTTTTTCGGGGGTCCCGAAGTTAGGGGGTCGACCTATACGACGTATCGACCAATATGCGAGTAAATACGGTAAGTATTACACTACTTAAAAATGAGTGCAAATAATCTTTTTCAAGACCCCAACCAATTCTTGGCTGTAGCGCATTATTGACGAACGTGTTACTTTGGGGCCTGTCACGCCCAATTGCGTGAATATTGACTAAGATTATATATTAGCAGCTGAAACTTAGTTCTCAGGCGTTAATGGTGTCCTTAATTAAAATACACAGTTATGCATTAGGCCGGAACAGCTTCCCCTTGAAACATCACGAACGGCAGCCTCATTCAACTCCCCTCATTTTGTACATCAGTTAAAGATTCGCTGTCCTGCTTCCACGAAAACGAATGGATGACGTCTTTGGTTCTGGGGGGGGGGGGGGCAACCACCAGGTGCCAGTTTTTCCGTGCAAGACACAATGACGTCAATGGAGCTTTTAACCTCTGCGAAATTGGAAGGGAAAGAAGAAATGGAAGCACGCCCCTCCGGTACATCCGCCTCACC